TACCCATTTCCCCTTTTTCTGCAGACACGGACCCCTCCTCTCAGGTTACTTTGGCTGCCCTTTTGCTGCTTACTATCTTCTGTGAAGACATGGCCTGCATCTTAGCTAATGCTTAATGCTACTCTGCACTAGAAACATATCCACTGCCAAGTTCATTCAACTACTTTAAAAGGCAGGCAATTTTAGTTCTTTTGGTTGGCCTATGCCATTCTTTGCCTTCTTCAAGTCATGTTTTCACTCTTACTCAAATATGTTTTAAATGAATATTCCAGTCGACTCTGGAGACCTAGTGTTCCAAATATAGTGCATTTCTGAGCTACTGACATACTAAATTATATCCCCATTCATACGTATGCAGCATTAATTGCTTACTTCGAAGTCAAGAATAGTTAAGGAGTGAACATGATATACTGTAATAGGAAGAACAAATCTGACTCCATATTAGATCTGTTCCTTTACCTTTAATCCTGTGCTGTTTTCTGTGCTTAGTAGTAATGGTTCTGCACCTTTTGTAAAAGAATGTTGCCTAGAGCCTGAAATATATAAGATAGCGCATTCTCAAGGCTCTGACCTTTAAGGATGTAACACTTTCCCATTCAAAGAGAGATAAAAAGTTGCAGAACAGAGAATAACACTTCTCTTGTTGAAGGTTTACAGGAACATCTCGACCTGACCTACATGGACAGCTGCAAGAACAAAGGATTTTGATACCAAGAACTTTACAACAACTAACCACACCCCCTCCCTTTTGGTATAAAAGGAGCCTGAATTCTGACTTGGGAAGATGGTTCTCTAGGACATTAGTCTGCCATTTTCTTGACCTGCTGGCTTTCCTAATAAAATCATTACTCTTTGCCCCAATACCTCATCTCCAGATTTATTGGCCTGTCATGCGGCAAGCAGAATGAGTTTGGACTTGGTAATGATACCACTGAGGTTTTGCTTTCAAATGAGAACTTACAAATGATTTTATACATTTAAAAAAAGAAACTATCCTAAGAAAGTGCTTAGGAAAAATAGACTACATAGAATATATAGCAATGTACACCTGCAAAAGAATTTACATGCTTTATGAGAACCCAAACAAATAATCTACAAACAGAACAGATTGGTGGTTGCCAAGGATGGGGGTTGTGAGGGGAATGGGTGAAGATTCTTAAAGGATACAAACTTCCAGTTATTAGAGAATAAGTTCTGGGGATGTAATGTACAACATGGTAACTATAGTTAATAATACTATAATGTATATTTGAAAGTTTCTAAGATAATAGATTAAATCTTTACCATACACAAAAAATTATCATTATGTGAGGTGACAGATATGTTAATTAATCTTATTGTGGTAATCATTTGTAATGAATGTATATACAAAATTGCTACACTATATACATTAAACTTATAAAAGTTGTGTCAATTATAACTCAATAAATCTGGAAAAAAACTTTTTTAATTTAAATTACATTTGGAAGACTGCCCAAGAGGGAAGTGGGATGAGAGTGACAAATGGGAAGAATAAATAAATAATTAAATTATGGAGGTTCTTCAGCAGATCAATATTAGAACTCCAGGAACTGAAGGGTGTGATTAACTCAACCCTGGGCACCTGAGGTTAGGAATACATAAATAAGAACTGAAAACTTAGGAGACAACAAACTTGACGAAATAAAACTATATTTCATCTACTGGAATGGTCTGTTAATCAAGTAATGTGCTCTCATGTTTTCTTGGAAGAAGCTAGAAAGACATCACTGTTACTAATAATTAAATTGAGACTACTTTTTGCATGATGGCATATCACTACTAGTTGTTAGTTGAAAGAAACCTACCACTGGGACTGCCTATGAGAAATGCAATTAAGAACCATCAAAGCCATCAAGAGACCAAATGTGTACAGAATATAAATGGACTACGAGGAAATGGTTCCATAGAGGGAGTCTAGTGACATATAACCACAAGAGCTCAGCCTTTAAATGGCTTCTAACTTTTACTAGAACTCTAGGATGGAATTAATTCCATGTAAATTACTGCACAGTAACTATTTTGTCTTACAATGTGGAAATCTGACACTGTATGGAAGCTTTTTTGTATTAAGACATTTAAAACAACTGAAGCATTAATTATTGAAGCAGCTATGCTAGAAATTATTAGAACCATCCCAGCATACCAACTGCAGGGATGTGTATGGTACAACCATCAGTCAGGCTGTAACTCCCATGGCTTCAATAGGAACTTTGTCAGAACAAGAGCCACAAAACAAGATGCCACAGTCAATGTTCCCCTAACTGAATTTACGTTAACTGTCATCTACAGCCTCCAAGAAACGGGAGGTCAGAGTGTTCTTAAAATACCAATTCATCATCTCTCCAGTATCAAATGGTTTGTCACGATAATCGCCAGTTGTAAGACTTTTCACTTAAATTTTAAAAATAGGAAAGAAAAAGGGGAGGGGAGAGCATTAGTCTACTCGTGCCATAACAAAATACCACAGACTAGGGTAGGGGAGTTAATAACAGAGATTTGAGATTTGTTTTCTCCTGGTCTGGGGGCTGGGAGTCCAAGATGAAGATGTTGACAGGTTTGGTTTCTCCTGAGGCCTCTCTCTTTGGTTTACAAACGGCATTTCCTCTGTGAACTTACATCCTTGTCTCTTTGTATGTCCTGATCTCTTTCTTTTACCCTTGTAAAAGCAGCAGTTAGATTGGATTAGGGCCCACCCTAATGATTAAGTTATAATGGTGCCAATTATCTCTTTAAAGTCCCTATCTTATAAATACCATCACATTCTAAGTCAGTGGTAGTCACAGCTTCAACATAAAAATTTGTGAGGTGGCATAACTCAAGCTGTAACAGAGTTAAAATAAAAAAAGAAAGAAAGAAAAAAAAGAAAAAGAAACCTGAAGCCATTAGGGAAATGCAGAGTTTTGATGTGTGGGAATTGGCCAAACATGACTGGGAAATAGTATCAGAAACTACTGGACAAAATAATCTCTCTATGATGAATTCAGCCACCTGCTTCATGGATATGCCCTGTTATTAAAATAAAGACCACATTTACAGCATGGTCTACATGGCTCTGCACAATCTCTTAACTCTCAGGAATTATCTCTTAGCATCTCTGCTTTTGTCTTAAATTCAAGCTGCACTGGGCTTCTTCTCATTCTCTGAAGAGGCCATGCTTTCTTCTTCATAGGACCATTGATAGCAACATTCCTGCCACTGGGAAAGACTGCTATCTAAATTCATCCATCATTCTTATCTTGAACGTCACATCTTTGAACTCTCACTTGTGCCACTGACCTCATTAGATGTATATCTTCTACAGTACAATGACTTTTTTTCACAGTAATTATTAAAGTTTATACATGTGTATGCATATATTTCAATGAGAGATAACTCAAGAAAATGGCATATATCCAGAAGGAACTCTACTTCAAAAAGACACCTGCACCCCACTGTTCATAGTAGCACTATTTACAATAGCCAAGACATGGAGACAGCCTAAATGTTCATCGACAGATGACTGGATAAAGAAGATGTGGTATATTGATACAATGGAATACTATTCCACCATAAAAAATGACAACTTAACGCCATTTGCAGCAACATTGATGTCCCTGGAGAATGTCATTCTAAGTGAAGTAACCAAAAGAGAAAGAAAAATACCATATGAGATCGCTCATATGTAGAATCTAAAAAACAAACAAACAAACAAAAAAGAAAGAAAGAAAGAAAAAGACAAATGAACATAAATACAAAACAGAAACAGACTGATAGACATAGAATACAAACTTGTGGTTGCTGGGGGGAGAGGGGTGGGAAGAGACAGACTGGGAGTTGGAAATTTGTAGATAATGACAGGTATATATAGAATAGATAAACAAGATTATACTGTATAGCACAGGGAAATATATACAAGATCTTGTGGTAGTGCACTGTGAGAAAGAATGTGACAATGAATATACATATGTTCATGCAAAACAGAAAAACTGTGCTCTACACTGGAAATTGACACAATATTGTAAACTTACTATAACTCAATAAAATAAAATTCAAAAAAAGAAAATGGTTGACTATTAACACAAGTTATCACTTATATGACACATTAATGCTATAAGACAGGATTAGTTTTACACATGCTAATTCACTTAATTCTTGTAACAACTAAGATGTATTTAAAACTGATAGTATTACCATTTACATTTTTTCAATGGGAAAACAGAGGTACATAAAATATATATAAATTGTTTAAGGTCACATGCCTGAAAGAGAGCTTGAACTTGAATTCAGGTAGCTATGGCTTTGCAGTCTGCCCTTAAACAATATCCTATTCCATACAGTATACTCATCACTACTTAGGTACCACACCTTCCCTGTTACATTGCACGTCTCAAAATGTGTTTGGATATGACAATATCAAAACCCCCCCAAAATTAAAAGCTCCATATGGTTAAACTAATAATAATGGAATAGACAATGTCATGATACATTTATCTCAGTGGATCTGAGGCAAGATCCAGCTGTAACTCCATAAAGTAATGTTGGCAAACAGTAAACACACACAGTTTGGGACTTTAGCAAGAATCTTACATCTGAAAAAAAACTGAGGCCAAATCCTGTTTTAAATAATTGCAACTGGTGCATAAGGAAATCAAGAAGAATACACTAAGTCAACATTCAAATGATTGCAATGTCTTATAAAATACACACAACACACACATGCCGGTTAGTGGTGAGTATCTGCTATTCTCTCTATTTCTTAGAGAGCATCAGAAATGCTCTTTGGACAACACAACAGAACTTTAACTGACTCCTTAGAACCTCCACTACTACTTACTGTGAAAAAGCAGAGGGTAACAACAGTTAAGATACTAGATTTTGAAGCCAAAGTATATGGATTCAAATAAGTAAGTACTTGTGTGACCTCAAGAAAATTAGTTAACCTCTTTCAAAATATAGTAGACATATCTTTTGGAGTAGTAGTGAAGTTTAAATAAATTACTATACACAAATACTTAGAATAGTACCTAGCACATAGTTAGTGCTCTAGGTGTTAGTATTATTATTTTATTCTCTGATCAAGAAATTTATTGAGTTCATCTATTTTATGACTCTTTTCAGCATCATTAATATATGAGTTATCTTTTGAACTTAAAAGGATAGTTAAGGTTGTGCCAACTGTGAAACAGAGGGCAAAGATCTCAAAGTTTCATGATTTACATAAACGAATGTACCAAGATCCCAACCCAGTCTCAAAGTGATAAGATTTTGTTCATCCATTATTTGTGATTTTGCTTTGCTATATCCCTAGTTCTCATGATCCACCAATCCACATATGCAGATGTTGACTTAGAAGCACACATTTTCATAGGGTGTAACTGTTAGAATAGACTTTATGGCTATTGTAGATGGCTCCTGGGCTATGACAAAATTTATATATATATTTATGTGATCCAAAAACCTTTAACCAATCATTTATCACCTTGCCTAATCAGTATCTTACTACTTTTATTTTACCTTTTTCATGTTTTCATATTTTCTATGTAAAGGATACACTTAAAAAAACTGAAATGTTTTTGATAGTAAAGAAATAAAGGAAGAATATGTGAGGAGGGAAGAAATTAAAAGAGCCAAAGCAACAAGAAAAACAAAATCCTCTGGAAAGAAAAACATTGTGAGATAAGCAGAAACCCAACATCAGCAGGAAGAGGGTCTTAAAACTGAAGATAATTATTTCAGGTAATTGTTGGCAGCAACAAGATTTTGAGATAACTAGAACTATGCAGATTTCAGCAAGAGAAGCAAGGAAAAAACAACAAAAGTCTAGTTAGTCCTGAAAGGAAGGAGACTACAAGGAATAAGATTAAATGTCCAAATATAATTAAAGTCAATAAATATTTATTAATTATAAGCATGTGTAGAATTCAGTACTAATGGAGTGGAAGAGAGGGTCAAGTACTATGAAGGTTACTACAATCACTTTTCCATCCCTAAATTCTGCCTAGTGTATAAGACACATAAAATTTTTGGTGGATGACCTAAGTTTATTTTTTTCACTTTTTTGACCTTGAAAAATAGAAATCTAGCACAAAAAAGGGAAAAAAACCCCTAAGTTCAAGAGCCTAATATCAATAAATATAAATGGACAAATTTGGCCAATAAAGATAGCAAACATCAGATTGAATAGGAAAAAATCAGTTTTTTCACATTTACAAAAAGATATCTATAATTCAGCATTTGAAATATCACTTACATGCGGGATCTAAAAATTAAGCAAACCAGTGACTATAACAAAATAGAAACAGACTCTCAGATATAAAGAACAAACTAGTGGTTACCAGTGGGAGAGGGAATGGAGAAGGGGAGAGACAGAGGTCGGGGATTAAGATGTACCACTTAATAGGTATAAACAAGTAAGCCACAAGGATATATTGCACAGCACAGGAAATCTAGCAAATATTTTATAATAATTATAAATGGAATATAGCCATTAAAAATTATGAATCATCATGCTGTACAACTGAAATTTATATAATATTGTACTGCAACTATACCTCAACACAAAAAGGAGAAAACTGAAAGTCAAATATAAATTTTAAAAGGATTAGAAAGGAAAAAAATAAAACTTTGTAGATGACAAAAAAATCTCCCAAATGACTACAAGTTGAGAATTTAATAAGAGATTAATAAGATAATTGCATAAAATATCAGTATCAATAATCAGTTGTATTTCATGTATTAGCAACACAGAGAATACACCACCACCACCACTAAGGTAAAATAAAAGAAAATTATATACGGTGACTAAGAATAAATCTGATAAGTTATATATGATATTGATGGAGAAATTATTTGAAAAACACAATAACTAAATAAAAAGTAATATACTCCATACACTGAAAGAATACCCCATACACTGAAAGAACACAAAATAACCCCTAAGTAAACAGGTAAAATAGCATTTTAATTAGTATGAAACAATACTGGAAAGATATCAAGTGTCTCCAAGTTATCTACAGACTTAATGTTTTTATAAACAAAATCTTAACAGGATTTTTTTTTGAGGGGCTATGTAACAAATTATACTAAAATCTGTGTGGAAGTAAAAAAGCTAAGAATAAACACTAACAAATTAGAATACAGTCAGACTCTTGCAATAATATATATCAAATCTCTATTCTTATTAAACTACAGTAATTTCCACTGTATCCACTGATAAAAACAGAGACCAGTGAAATGGAATATGGAATATATAAATAGATACGTGTCCTGTATAAACACTTTGTATTACAAAGCTGATATTTCAGATTACTGTGTAAGTTTTGGACCATTTAACTAATACAGTAGACTTGGTTAGCCACATGGAAAAATGAAATTCCTACCTACCATTTGAAACAAAACTCAACTACAGAAGTATTATTAAGCATAGCAATAACATGTTATTGGTGCAAGAAGAGAGAAACAGACCAGTGGGATAAAAACCCAACACAGACCAACACATACATGAATATTTGACTTAAGAATAACATGGCGTTCCATAATATAGTTGATGAAAGAACAATGTTATAATAATGGTTCTGGAATTAATGAACACCCACAGGGGAGAAGATGAAAACTGACTGCTATTTCACATTATACAAAAAGTCAGTTGAAAGCAGATGCTAATCTAAATGTGAAAGTCAAAATGATACGTTCCTAGAAGATGTAAATATACACACAATATTCAATATATGTTTCATGATACACAATATATAATACAACATATAAGCATTGTTACAAATTCTTTATCAGAACAAAAAAGACATTAAGTATTACAGAGCAGATAGATAAGTCTATGTTGAAATTAAGAAGTTTTATTCATCAAAGGATGTCATTAAAAAACTTAAAGTACAAACCAAAGTATGGTAGGAAACTTACTTGCAACACATAAACTAATATAGGATTTGTATCCAAAATTTTTGAAGACAAATCAGAGATAACAGCTAATATAAAAACAGCCAAGGGATGTGAACAGACAGTTTAGAGAATACAGAGCATTAAGACTTCTCATGCAGTGCTGGATGGATATTTACTGGCATTAAACTTTGGGAAAGCTTTTTTCATGACAGGTACATGGGGGTGAAATGTAACTATGTTTATCAAAGCACACATACAATAATATACACACCAGCACTTTTCCTAATAGTCCTGTGATGATTTATTTTGTACATCAACTTGGTTAGGCCAAGTATGTGATCTTTGGTCACACACCAGTCTAAATGTTGCTGTGAAGGTATTTCGGGTGTGATTAACATTTAAATCAGTAGACCGAGTAGAGAAGATTACCCTCCATAATATGGGTACCCCTCATCTTGTCAGTTGAAGGTCTTAAGGAACATACTGAGATCTTCAAAAAGGAAGTAATTTTGCCTCCAGACCACGTTCAGACTCGAGACGGCAATGTCAGGTTTTCCCCGCAATCTCCAGTCTACGGATCTGCCCTGCAGATTTTGGATTTAGGAGCCCCCAAAGTCATGTGGGCAAATTTCTTAAAATCACATATATATACATACATATACACATGTGTACAAGTGTACATGCATGTATATATGTGTGTGTGTGAATGTGTATAAACACACACACATCCTATTGCTTGTTTCTCTGGAGGACTCCAACACTAGCTCCAAACTGGAGATGATCAACTATTTAGATGTCTATTAACAAAAGATACCTAAATAGTTAGAGTCATACAGTGGAATACTGAATCAATGGAAATGAAATGTGTTTACTGAGATATGGATTAATTTCACAAACAAAACGAACCAAAGAGCTACATACAACACCACAAATATGGTATGGTTCTATTTAACTAAAGTTCAAAAACAAGTAAAACCAAGTTTTAGTGTCTAGGGATCTATTTTTAGCTGGTTAATTGATAAGCAAGCAAAGAAAGTAGTCACAATTAATAACAGGTAATGGTTATTCGGTGACAGGAGAGACAAAGAACAAACTGCACTGGGGGCACAAGAGAGCCTTCTAGGGTTATTAAATCGTAGTTTCTGACTTAGGTGACTATTATCCTGGCTTTATTTTGGGATAATTGAACTACCCATTTTTGTTTGGGTTTCTAATTTGTATGCAATTTCATGATAAGAGTGCATTAGCAAAGAGGAGTGAGAAACACATTCAGAGACAGGGGGATGAGATCACATATACAGCCTAGGTAGTAGTCTAGTTTTTATGTTCTGCTAGACATTATTGTGGAAGCTTAATTTACTACTTTGCAAATTCTCATGTTTTGACTTCTGGTTCATTCCACAAAACTGAAAAGTGAGATCGAGATTCGAACAGCCTGCTTTTCCTGACCGGGTGGCTGAGGACCCTGCAGAGGCAGATGTTCGTAAGAAATCAGTTCTTGCTGTGACAGTAATACCAGCCTGCATGAAAGACTGAGCATTTGGAATGACTGGTCTGTGTTGCTTGCAGCCCATGTGGAAGCTGAGCCGAGCTGAATCGATGCTCCAAGAACACAGAGTCTGGAACTGATTGCATTCTGAACACCTTTTTTCAGCTTTCTGCAGCCAGTTGATCACCCAACACCTCTGTATCCACATGGTTTTGCTTGTACTCTTGCCCTTAGCTGGTTATGTTGCTGTTCTCTAAGACACTGACAATATTCAAGACATCTTATGAGAAACATTGCCTGATCTAAGGTGGCAGATTAGAAACGCATAGCTTGTGACTTCTGAAACAGACCAAGGATAAGGTAAAGAATATACTTTTATTAATTTCCATCTACCTTGGTAGCCAAATGTTTGTTCCAATCAGCTCAACTCTATTTCCCCTCAATTAGAAACATAAAATTTTTCTGAGACCAAATACTGGGATCTTCTTTTATAACCTAACTTGTGCCCACTCCACCCTGCAGTCTTGTTTATAATCACAGTCCTTACGCTGCTCTTTGGGAATCAGGCAATTGAATCCCCATGAGCGAAAATCACAGTATGTTTTTAAATAAATAAATGAAATGAAAGAGGACCCTGGTAAGTACAGAATACAGTGGCAACAGAATGGTCTAAACACTAAGAAGCACATCTATTGGCACTGTTCTCTTTTGTTTGGCTTGTGAAATCATAGCAACCCAAACTTTCAGCTAATGTGCAAAACCCAGACCACCTGTATGGGTATAACCTGCTGCCTCTAAGTGCTTTTATTGGAGAAAATGTGATTGCTGTTGTAAATGAAGTTATTTATACCTGCTGTTTGATACCTGTAAAGTATTACTTTCACAAGATTTTTGTTAACACTGAAACTTCCCTTTGCTTAAGGATACTAGAGTCCAAACTTATTTCCCTCCTTTATAAATAAAAGTCTAAAGGGTACCAGGCCTCTGTCACTAAATACTGTAATCTCGGATAAAAAGACCAAGGGGTCCACAGATGTCTGCATTAATGATAATAAAACGAATCATGATATAATTTAAATACAAATTTTAATCCATCTCAGTGATTTACTTGAAATTCAAGATTGGGACACAGTGAACTTTTTTTTTAATTTAAAAACTGTTCACCTAGTCGTAGCATGATAATTTGAAATATTAATTTGAGTCTATTCTACCTGTATTTCATCTCTTCTTTCCCAGCCTATGACACACACCACACACACACACACTAGAACACCCATGTTCTAAGCAGCTTTCCAAGCCTACTGCAACTCCCTGACTTAGATTTTGCCAAGCAGGGAGCAGAAGCATCTAAAATCTCCTGCTCTGAAAGGAGTCTAAGCTCAGTAAAGAGGTTATTCTAGGTGGCCTGGTCAAGAAAGGGAAGGGTTTTGAGATACAAGAAAGAGAGATAGGACATTTCCTTGCAATCTGAAGAAGGGATACACAGCAGACATGCCCTTACCAGCTATCGAGGAAGGAAAGGGCTGCAGACTACATGCAGGTAGAAGAGAAATCCCATGGACATTGACACCTAGTATTGAAAAACTGAACATTCAACCTTTTAAGCAAAACTTTCACTCTCAGGAAAAATTGTTCCTACTCCACAATTCTAATGATCACCACCAGGGTCGCCAACTCCTGAAAATACCCCCATAATGTCAAGCATGACACGGAAGCCAAGTAAAATTAAGAATCCAGGTATAGTTCTTCAGTCTCTTGCATCTGTCAAAGATCAATTAGTGTCAGGGACCAGAACGACACTTGGTTGAGCTGACCTCCTCTTCCTCCCAAAGAAATACAGAAAGGCCATGGCCAAGGTCCTAGCAGACCCAGCATCAGATGCATGTGCATATCCTCTAGCTGCTAAAGGAAACATCTATTCCT